GTCCGAAGCTCGCGTTGCTGAGTCTGATGACAGTAAAGGCCAAACTGAAAACGTCAAAATGCATATTGATGTACATGTAAGCAAAAAAGGCTCTAAAGTTGTTGTATCCAATTTAGTATCGATGTCTGTGATTAATCTCATGCACGAACTTTTTAGGTTAGCATTGAGTCGGGCAGGTGCACTTTGAGGACTGCACCTAAACAAGAGCAGTCAGCGATGGTGCCGATAATGGTAAAGAAGCCTTCATCGAAGGATTTGAGAACGAAAGCCTTTTCTTCAGCACAGCCGGTGAATCTAACTAGGTTCAGTATCCCGAGGTGAGGCTTGTTATGTAATAGTTATCATGCACTAGTCTATTCAAAATTTGCTTTTTTGAGTTTTTGAGCTTGCGAAACACTCTTTGTGGTTAGCATAGGAACAAGATTTGAAGAATTCTTGTGGTATTTTTCCTTGCGATTCCTGGGAGTTATGTAGTTTTCTGTGTTCTACAGCGAAATGCTGCAAGCAGTATGATCCAGTCGACTTTATTGTTTCAGTCTTGATATGAAGGGGTACTACTTATCTGCGGACTCTGGGTCGGTTCCAGTTCCCTTCGCCGCATCCGTTTCAGAACATCATCAACTGAAACAAAGCGCGTCGATGTTAGACGCAACTGCGCAACCCTCTTCAAGCGTGAGTTCTTATTACCAAGAAATAGTTCAGCTTTTCATATGGAATATGAGTAAGAACTTCCTCGATAATTGATATGTATTTGTCAAGGCAGCCCATCTTTCTGTGCAAAGAAAACGAGGATGTTTCTACTTGTCGGCAGCATTAGCTTCGATGCCAACAGAGACTGTGGTTACTCCACATCTTGCCGATTACCTTGAACAGGTATAATATTGTTGTAAAATAAGTTCTACAAACCAGCATTTTTCTTCAGGTACTTGAACCTTTACCAATATCTTCCGGAGCAACCGTTACTTCTGTACCATCAGCAGAACCCCAAGAAGGTGTGGCACATATCGTTGGCATGGATACCAGCGCACTGCCAATTGATGTTCTGTTCTTCCTGACCGTACAAAGCAGCGCAATCAGATTTGATGGTCAACAGCAAGTATGTGTAAATCTATCAATGCAGATGGATTCAACTAAAACATGTTGAACTTTTAGCGAAGTTCTGCTGCGGATTGCTTGCTAAAGCTGCCATGCTTATCTCTCATGGCTTCCACACGTCGAACTGTTGGAGATGCTTACGTTGGGGGCATAGATGTGTCAGCTACCCTTAGCGCGTTCTCGCTAAGTATCTACAGCCCGCACCAAGTAGG